TCTCACCTGTAAAGTGCGGATAATAATTACTTACCTCAGAGTTATTAGGTCAAAGTGAATTATAAATGTGTATGAACGATGTCTGCTGTATCTCTTGGCGTTAGCTATTACTATTATGACAAATGCCTACCCTGGTTGACGTAGCCTCATCAGACTAGAGAAAGAGATCTATCTATGAAAACTGACCATTTGAAGGATTCTTCTCACTCTCTTGACAGCCAGCGGGTGCAAGTTCTTTTTGTTTCGTCCCTTGCTGGCTAAAGCATCGCTGGCTGTCTCAGCACCTGTACAAAGGTATTATTTAATCTTCTGAAGTTAGTGCTTTGACTCCTCTTCCTCCTTCCACTTCTCTTCATACCTGTTAATAATTCACCAACAAACCCTGCTCAGAATGTTTTCAAGTGCCTAAGATAAAATACCAAATAAACTAATTATCTTGAAATAGTTATCAAGATATTAAAAATAGCTGTGTAACTTCTTACCTATTAACACATTAAATAAGATTTCATGGCAGATCTAAGAACGGTCTTAATACTGTTGGGCACAGACAATATTTTGAGATCTCAAACATCCTCATGTGATGAAAGTATCTGCTCTCTACTGGTAACGTCACGGGGATTTGCTGCCTACATTTGCAGTTGAAGAGAACTCTATACATTTCAGTTACAAGTTAATGGTAATAAAGGTGCAGTTTTTTCCTTGCCGGCAGATTACAACATCCCTGCATCCCAGAGTCCCTGTGTTCTAGCTCCAGTCTGTGTGTCCAGATGTGTCCTGTCTCTGCTCAACATAAGCTGAGTTTACAAAGGGTGGGAAACAATTGCTTTCTCTGTTTAACAGATATTTCCTGTGTACCATGCCTGCTGTGTGACAGGTACTGTGCTAGGCAATGCAGATTCAGGGCTAGGTCTCTGCCTATTTATATAGGTCTCTGTCTGTATAAACACAACATATAACAAATGCTCTGGAGACATCAAACAGTAAAATACTCTCAAGAAGTAATATATTTTCAGATTAGGGGTAGGGATGTGGTTAACTAGCTAGCTGGTCAAGGAAAGCTTTCTGGGTGGTTGCTATTTTAAGCTGAGATTTGGATGAGATGGAACCAGAGGAGCAGAGAGGGATGAGGCAGGAGAACGAGGTGAAGGTGGGAACTGGGGATGTTTCAGGCAAGGGAAACAGCGTGTATGAAGGACCTGGGGTGAGCAGGGTGTGGTGCCTGGTCCATCCTGAAGCCACTTACTTTCTCCACCTCCGCTTATATTTTCCATTGAACGGTTTCTGATGAATCTTTCTAGAGTTTCTTTAGTAGCAACTAGGCCAATAGAAATATTTGGTTTTTTCCTTCCTTTCCACAAATGGTAGAACCCGAGGCATCCTGCTTTACAGTTTTATATCTTGGTCTCATAATTGTATTGGAGGTCTTTCCATATCATTACGTAGACTGTTTATTCTTTTTTGTCTGTAACCACAAGGTATTCCATTGGATGGCTGTACCATAGTTTACATAAATATTCTCTATCAATGGACTGTTGAATTGGTTCCAATACTTTGCTATTCAAAATAGTGCTATAGTTAATAACTGTAATACTAATAATTATTATGTTATCTCACCTGTGTGGAAATGTATGGTGTCTGTAGGGGAGATTTTCAGAATGGGAATTGCTGTCTCAAAGGGCAGACACATTTGTAACTGCAGTAAATATCCCGAACTTCCTTTGTGTTGTGGGTGCAGCAGTTCGTATTTTCAACAGCGGTGGAGGAGAATGCCTGTTCTCCCACAGACACACATTTGAAGTATGTTATAGAACTTTTCGATCTTTGCCAATCTCATGAGTGAAAACGGTTTCTCAATTTAGTATTAACTGCTCTTCTTCCTGAGTGACGTTTAGCATTGTTTAAAATGGGCTTCTGAGTCGTGGTTAGAATGACCTTCCCTATTCCAAAGTTGTGAAAGAATCCTCTCATATCATCTTCTAGTGCTGTTGTGGTTTTACTTCAAAAGTCTGCATCATTGATCCTTGGGAATTTATCCTGGGTGAGGTGCAGCAAAATTATCTTGTCCAGGTGTCTGCCCCCATGTGCAATACTATTAAATAAATATTTTCTTTCCTCACGGGTTCGAGATGCAATCTATGTACTAATGATACTAAGTCCTCTGATTTAGGGTTTCTTGCTCACCTTTCTGCTTGGGTCACTGGTCCATTGACCGCTTCATTGTGCTGGAGCTGGAGTACCTCACTAATGTGGCTGTGTAACATTTTAATATCTTGTAGCCCTAATCCCACCTCATTGTTTCCTTATTATTGTCTGGGCTATTTTTATTTTTCCACATGTAGTTTAGAAACAACTTAACATGTTAAAAAAATCTGTTGGTGTTTTTAAAAATTGGAATCTTGTTATATTCAGGAGCATGGCCAGTGGTTTCACTTGTTTAATTCTCTTTCAAGGTTCCCTAGGAGGGCTTTGCCATTTTACAGGAGTCTTACAGATCGGTTTTCATCCTTAGCATTTAACCTTTTTATTTGTAAAGCAGATCATTTCTTCCATAGCTTCGAATTTTTTTTCATACATGTGCAAACAGTTAAAGCCTGTGTCTTTGCTCACGGAGCTCGCTTAGTTTTTAGTGTTTTCTCAGTTCTTATTTGTTAAGGTATATGCTGATAGCACCTGTGAAGATGACAGTTTTAACTCCTCCTTTCCAATTTTTTGTCTCTAACCTTTTACCTGACTCTTTTGTCTAGGACAGGTGATACCGGGCATCCTTGCGCCTCGCATGTATCTTTGTTATGCGTGGTGGTTTCTCTGGGCTGTGATGGAGTGTATCTTGTTGAGGGAGCATCCATCTATTTATATTTTATTGATTTTTAAGAGCAAGAATGTTTGTTGAAAAAACCATGTGATTTTTCCCCCCATTTGTTTAAGTGAGTGTGGTGAATTAGGGTTCCCGATATTGAGCCATACTTAACAATCTTCTGATAAACTCCACCTCATTGTGTGTTTTCACACTTTGCTGAATTTTGTTTGCTAATACAATTTAGGGCTTTCAGCTTGATATTCATACGTGAGCTTGTCCTATATTTGATTTTTTTTATTGTTGTTTTGCTTTAGTGCGCTCTTTCCCAGGCTTTGCTGTATGTATATACCAGCTTCATAAAAATAACTTGGATTTAAAAAAATATTTTAGAACAGTTCAGATAACAGTGGAATTATCTGCTCTTTCACGGTTTGCTGGAATTCCTCTGTGAAATCATCAAGGCCGGGAGTTTTCGTGATGGAACGCTGACATCTTTTTCTGTTTGGTAGAAAACGGCTCTGTTTGGATTTTTAACATTTCTGGAGTCAATTTAGTAAATCGTATTTCCCTAGGAGATGATCTCTATTGTAAATTCTCCCTCTCACTGTCTACTTCTTCTGCCCTTCTCAGGCATTGACATCTCGTAATCTTTCTCTTCCAACTACTGTACCATCACTCTCACCGTAATTCATGTTTTGTTACCTCTCTTCTGGGCTATAGCCTCTGTTTTCTACAAGCAGATCTGCTCGTGTTTTAACACACAGTGTCACTAGATTAAATTCCATATCTTACAATCTTATTCACTCATTTAATATATGCTATCCAATGTCTGGTATGTGGCAGAGGAGAGTGCAGGGAAAGCTCTGCTCTCATGGACTTATATTTTAGTGGATAGTATCAGACAAGTAACGAATATAAATAAAAATCTATCAGGTAGTGATAAGTGTTATGGAGAAAAATGAAACTGCATAGTGGTGATAGAGATGGGAGGCTGGGTAACATTTATTATACAGGGTCGTGAATGAGCAGAGACCTGAAACAAGTGACAGAGGGAGGTAGCAAGGACAAGTGCTTGAGGCAGTTTCAGTAAGTGCAAAGGTCCTGAGGCGGGAGAATACTTGTCATGTTTGAAGAATAGCGACAATGTCAGGAAGGGAGCTCTCTAGAACGAGCCAAGGTGGAATGGGGGAAGATGAAGTCAGAACTGTCAGGCGTCTGCGTGCTGGGAGGGACAGGGTGGTGGGAAGTGGAGGCAGATCACGCAGGGCATTGCATACCATTGCCAGGAGTTTAGAACTTATTGAGTGGTGTGAAAAGTCACAGTACCATATTGTTTTTGTTTTTGTTTGTTTTTTGTTTTGAGAGCAACAAGTGCTAGACTTAAGAAAAATTACCGTGACTCCTCTGTAGAGACTAGACTATAGAGGACTATTGATTTAGTTTAGGAAGGAGAGAGAGTTAGGTTCCATCATGGGCGCAGTGGTACAACTCAGGAGAAGGGGTTGGATTTCAGTTATACCTTGAAGGTTGAGCCTTCAGGATTTGCAGATCAATTGAATGTGGCATTTGAGAGAGCCACCTTTGATTTCTCTCCAAGGATTTTTGACCTAAGCAATCTGAATAATAGTGTTGCCATTTACTGAAAGGGGGAGCACTGAAGACATAGCAGGTCTGCACTGAAAGTCAAGTTTGTCATTGGACATGTTGAGGTTGAGGATGCTACTATTGCTCTAAGTGGAGATGCCAAAAAGCAAGTTGGACATTGGATTCTGGAATACAGGAGAGAGGCCTTTGTGAAAATTCTTCGATGGCTCACCATTGCTTACAAATTTTAAATTGCTAACAACACATTCAAGATCTTTTATCTGACCCCAGCCTTCCTTTGAAGTCTTGTCTCACACTATTACCTTAAACAGACTAAGGCAACAGGCTTTCTTAGTTCCAGAATGTGCTAGGCTTTTGGCCATTTTGATGCCGTTGCCAATGCCATTCTTTATACCCAGAACACCTGTCATTTCAGCTCTGTTGACTGGAATCCTAGCCAGTCTCCGTGACTTTCTACACAAGGGGGTGTAGTGAGCCAAGAAGGGAAAGGTTATGTTCTTTTGATGACCTTTAGTGAACGAACCCCTGGCTGAGTGCTCAGCCTGCTTACTCCACTTAGTGATGGAAGAAATTGAATTTTTATTTTCTTTATTTCCAGATGGGAACATTTAAAGCACATGATGGTGAATATTTCTTAGAACCTATAATGAAGGCAGATGGGAGTGAACTCGAAGATGATCATAACAAGCCACATCTTATATACAGACAGGAATTCAAGAGGAACTTTTTTCTGCAGTCTCACAAACCTTGTGAAGTTTCAGGTAAACTCTTTATGGTAAAATTAGGATACCTCTAAAATCTTTTTTTAGGTTAAAATTTTTGTTTTCCTTAAATGTTGACGTGTATGATATTTTAAACAAATTTTCTTGACCTGGAAGGATCCATTAGAAATTATCTGTAGGAAATTTTGTTGTAGACTAAATCTAAATCCAAAAAAGTGTTCAGTAGGATTGACTCTTGAACAGCGTGGGAGCTGGAGGTACTGACCACCTCGCAACACAGTGGAAAATCCACATTTAACTTTACCACTGATCCCCCTTATATACAGTTCCACATCCATGGATTCAACCAACCACAGATCCTGTAGTAGTGTAGTACGAATTTAGTGAAAAAATTCACGTATAAGTAGATCCGTGCAATTCTAACCTGTGTTATTCCAGTGTCCACTGTATATGAGATTTGTAGCAAAGAATCAGAAAAGTTTTACTCCAACCTGTTAGGTCAAGGTAGTATGATTTTTCTAAGCAGAATTTTATTTTTTAAACTTTTTTATTTCTTTTTTTCCTGATGGAATCTTAAATAGTGGGTTTGAAAAGAATCAGGATATTTGCATAGTCTTAAAGCATCTCCCCGAAAACATTTATTTATTTGCTTTTAAAATTTTAATTTAATTTTTATTTATTATTTATAATTTTTAATTGAAGTATAGTTGATTTATAATGCTGTGTCAGTTTTCAAGTGTACAACAAAGCGTTCACTTATACAACAAAGTGTTCAATTATATGTATATATATTTATTCTTTTTCAAATTCTTTTCCATTATAGGTTGTTATAAGATATTGAATATAATTCCCTGTGCTATACAGTAGGACCTTGTTGTTTATCTATTTTGTGTATAGAGTAATTTGCATTTGCTAATCCCAAACTCCTAATTCATCCCTCCCCTCCCCTTCCTCTTTGGTAATCATGGTTTGTTTTCTATGTCTGTGAGTCTATTTCTGGTTTGTAAATAAGTTCATTTGTATTATTATTTTTTTAGATTCTACATATAAGTAGTATCATATGATACTTGTCTTTCTCTGTCTGACATTTCGTTTAATATGATAATCTCTAGGTGCATCCATGTTGCTGCAAATGGCATTATTTCATTCCTTTTTATGACTGAGTAATATTGCACTGTGTATCTATCTCTATCTCTGTCTGTCTGTCTGTCTATCTATCTATCTACACACACATGTCTTCTCTATCCATTCACTTGTCAATAAGCATTTAGGTTCTGAGCAGAATTTTAGACAATTAAAAAATTGAACCCGAGTAACAATATCATGATGCTTAATTTTGCATAATTTTAAATTTATATAAAGGAAACATACTGCAGATAGTTCTCTGGGACTTTTTTGCCCAGCATTACTTCTGAGGTTTGTCTATGCTGGTACATATGGAAGCAGTTCATTTTCATTGCTGAGAATGTCACCACTCACATAGCCACGTTCCTGTTCATGAGCTTTTGGATTATTTGCAGTTTTTCACTATTATAAGCAGCAAGGCTGTGAAAATTCTTGTCCGCATCTCCTGTGTTTGAGATTCTCCAGAGTATACACACAGATACTAGAGAATTCCACATTGTTTTGCAAAGTGGTTTTTATTAATGTGTACTTCCAGCAATATGTGAGAGAGGTATGTTTCCTCATTTTTGCCTATGAAATGCAGACTCCTGGAGATTTATCATAGATTAGAATCCAGGAATTACCAATTTCTATGAAGTGTAAGTCTGTTGCTGGTAAAATAGTTTTATGTGGGGCATGGAAGTCATATTAAGAGTTGTGTCCACATCTGTGCATGAATCTTCACCATATCACTTCATGTCACTCGATGCAGAATGAAGAAAAGCACCTGCAGTTATCATCAAAGTACAAAACCTAGACAAAAGAGCGGGACTAGAAAGGATTGATTTGCGATCGTAGGTGTCCATGAACTCTCGTTCCGACCGTGGCCATGCCGTCTGTTTTGGGAGATAATGATGTGAGGCCTTTGAAGGCTTTCCCTGGGAACGCACTTCTTAACCTTTGCTATTATAAGAGTGCCATTTTGGAATGGTTCTCGCTGTGTCTAAGGCCGTGTTTTAAATCTATTGACATAATAGATGCCTTTCTTATGCTTTTAATATGAGCATAAGGGTTTCATTTTTATGGCTTCAAAGAAAACACAAATGGGTGCAGCTCCACAATGGACCTCTACAGAAGGCAGCCGAGGCCTGTTCTGATCTCCCACTCAGGAGCAGCTCGTTTAATGAGTTGTTTAGCTTCTTAAGAAGAAAGCCACCAAGTAGACACTCTGAATGCATAAATGTTTCAGATAATGATATGCAGGGTTTGGCATTCACAGTCAGTGTTCATTATCAGAAAGAGAATGGTTCGAGAAACACCAGGCCCTTCTGTTTAAAAAAGGAGAAAAACAAAACCCAAAATACTTATACTAAATTATTTGTATTATTAAAACTACAAATAAAAAGCAAATGGAAAACTAGAGGACTTAGTTTTCTTTGAATTGCGATCTATTTTTTCACAAAGTTTATCTACGAAAATGTTAAAAGTAATATCACTCTTTTCAATTCTTAAATTACCTACATTTCCAGGTACAATTAACATACATATTTTTAATCACTAAAAAAGGCAATCAATTAATGGCCTAAATAATTAGCTGCTAATCCTCATCTTGTTAGTAAAAATGGAGAGTTGTAAATGTAATTAGTAAAATGTTATCAAAGGTTTTTTTTTCCTCCTTCTCCAGTTCACACATTGCTGTTTAGAAATACTTGCAGGATCTTATCTGTTCTGAAGGTGAACCTTCAATCAGGAGAATTCTTCAAATAGGTAGGCCTAAAGATTTAGCACATGAACCAAAAGGATCCACTGGGAAAGGAAAAGTCATTTTCCCCCATATTTCTATTGATTTTAATTCATTGTGACCCTAAACCATTGCAATTCATAGTGACTTCAGCCTTGATGAATTAGATTAAGTTGTTTGTAAGGCCAGATTTCACCATGTGCCTTGAGGTCCTACAAACCCAGCCACTGTGGATGCCAGGTTCCTAGGTAAACGTTGGACATATTCTAAGTAAAGTCCAGTGGAAATAGCAAAACATGCTCATAAAACCCATGAAGTGAACAAAAGGCCACACATATTGCCACCTCATGCTCCCAAAATTAAAACCCAAGAGGACAATAAACCTTGAAAAGATGGGCAGGAATGAAGACACCTCTGGATTCCGTTACGTGTGGCTCTGCCATTGCTTATCATCCAAGGCGGATCAGACCAGGTCTACATCCTGTGGGGGCCTGGTGAGCCTCCCTCCCATTCTCCCATTGCCCCTCTGTCCCTCCCTTCTCACTGTCATGGGGTGGGAGCTTGGAGCATCTGTGGAGCAGTGAAACAGAGAGTTTGATGTGAGCAAAAGTGAAATGTTCTTCAGCAGATTTTAGATGATACTAGCCAGCTTTTAAATTTCTGTGCTTTTCCTATTATTTCCTAAACTTGTTCATTCCTATAGTCTTTCAGCTCCTAATATGTATAAAGGTAGAACTGGGCAAGACTTGAGTCTCTCATTAGTTAAGTTCTCAAAGCCCAGTGGGTGGAAAAGAACAACAACAAAAGATCAGAAAAATTTTAAAACTGAACCAAGGCTGCCCACCCTGTGTTAGGAGCAATATGGCATGCAGTTTGTGGGGCTCAGCAACAAAAACTGGCCTGGTTCCACTGAGAAGGTGACATTCAAACCATTTAATCTACATTGTGTGAAGAAGGATTTGTAGATATTTTCTAAGGAAAAAAAAGGAGGATGGGCTTATATTAAAACACCCATGGATTGATCTGTTTATATAAGTATGGTCAAGTGAGAGACTTGGAGACCACCTCACTTTTGAAAGAAGAATTTGTTACTTACAGTCCCCAAGAGAAGGGAGAATGGAGAAGTGCCCAGGTTGGGCAAAGGCTTTATTTCTACAGCAGTGAGAAGTTGTTACATGGGGGTGTCCCCAGTTGGGCAGGAAGTGAAACAGATCTTGGGGTGTGTGGTTGGAAGGTTTGCAGTGTGATTTCAGTGTGCTCCTTGAAGGCTGGACTGTAGAAGGGATGGGTAAACAGCTTTGGCAGTTAGTTGGGTCCTGTGATTAATACCAAATCATCGATTACAGAATCTGTAACAGTGGGTTGGAACCCGCCTATAGATAAGAGAGAGATGACTATTTGTACCTTCAGTGTCCCGATGGGTGTGGAGAAGACTGTGGGAGGTGGGGGCAGATGAAGCTGTGAAGACACACAGGCAGACAGGAAAGGGCTCTGAGGATTTTGTCGGCTATCCTCTAGGCACTGGGCAAATGCAGAAAGGTTAAAGCAGAGACATCCTATGTTGTGTTACTCAGCTATCAGTGTTATTTTTAAAGATGATTTTGAATTTGATTGAGAAAAGAGCCTGAAGGCAGAAAGACTGAGTCCAAGAAAGCAGCTGTCTTGTCAACAAAGGACTTCCAAGTGTCAAACAAGTAAAGTGTACATAGGGCATCAATTAAGGATGATTTCCTTAAAGTTCCCTCAATTTTGATGATATGATAAAGCTTTTTTTGGTGTGTGAATCATCAATTTGGATATTTCTGTGAAAAACATGAGAACCGTTTTCTTAATAAAATTATTATTTTTATACACAGATTATTCCCTTTAAGATAATTAATCAGCCTGTGTTTGGGGAACCCAGATGTCTTCAGTGTCAACAGAGGCCATAGTTCACCTAGTAAGCTGGGCGTCAGGGAGCAGAGTTCTACTTCTGGCTCTCTTACTGACTTTGAGAACTTAACCTCCTTGGATCTAGAGTAGATGGTGAATGGCTAATGAATTTGATCTGTTTCCCATATAAGTCAAGTTTAGGGGTTTCTATCTTAGCTACTTCACAGATACAGAGGCTCAATCTACCAATTTCAAACTTTGATTTGTTACTTTTTCAAAATCCAGAAGTAGTGGGCTCAATAAAACTTTCAAAAGCAGTGTC